TCGCTTTCCTGAAATGATTCAGCTGGATCGGCTCACAGCCAATGTGGTGGTGCGTTTTTGCAAATCCATATTTGCCCGACATGGAATACCAGAAACTGTTGTAAGCGATAATGGGACGCAGTTTGGAGCTGCTCGTGAATTTGCAAATTTCGCAAGGCAGTACGGATTCACACATGTCACTTCAAGTCCTCGATTCCCGCAGAGCAATGGGATGGCAGAAGCAGGTGTGAAAATTGCTAAGTTGATCCTCAAGAAAAATCAAGACCCATCGCTTGGACTCCTGGAGTATCGATCGACCCCTTTGGAGAACGGTTACAGCCCTGCTGAGCTTCTCATGGGACGTAAACTCCGAACGACCTTGCCAATTGCACCAGAGAATCTTAATCCAAGGTTGGTAGACTCTCAGACCCTGAAAAGAAAGGAAGGGAGAAGGAGAAAGGATATGAAATCCAGATATGATCGACGCTGCGGAGCTACGGACATGGAGGAGCTATCCGAAGGTGACACGGTTTGGATTACAGATATGCGAACCTGGGGGATTGTAAAGAAGAAAGCATCGACACCAAGGTCGTATATGGTTGATACTCCAGTTGGGACTTTACGTCGAAACAGGTTCCATCTACGAAAAGGAGTTACAGTGCAATATCCAGCCGACCCATCGACGCCGACCTTTTCGGGGGAGGAACTGGTTGAAAATGAAAAGACCCCAGTTGTGGATTATCCCTCTAACGACTCAGAAGACGGCCAGATAAGAACCCGGAGTGGACGAATTGTTAAACCTGTGGATCGCCTTCATTATTAATTATATTATGCATTTAAAGTTTGTAATGTATATATATATTTCAAGTCTTAAAAAGGGGGATGTGCTGAGAACATGTAAGAAAACATGTACCTATGTTTTCCCACGTGACGCAGCGGAGCGTGACCTTGCCTGCACGGGTGAGTCGGTTGTTGTTTTGAACTCTGTATGGATGAACATTAAAACAGTTAGCGACTTCAGTACTCTCTAAGGGGGAACCTGGGTTAATTAACTAAATAAAAAAAAGCTGACATAACAAAGAAGTGAATAAGGTTTCAAAGAGATTTAACAGACTTTCATCTCTTTAGCTAAAAGAGAACAACAGAGAAATGCTTTCATTACACCTTTCTTTTGTTCAACCTATAGAAGAACCGTGAAGTTTGAAAGCTCATGTTATATTGATATAATAAAAGAAACCTTTCTACATTATACTTAGTTTTTTTTTTTGCTATAATTCTACCTATATATTCCCTACCTACAACACCATTGGGTAGTGGGTACCTAGACCGAAATCTGTACGTCTGCCCTACCTATCACAGATACAGATAGTACTGTATATCTTTGACATTAAAATTCTATAAAAGAAAGGTCATTTCTCTGATCAAAATAGACGCAAGTTATGCGCCATCTATCAAACGTCTCAATAAACTAGAAATATTGGCAAGGCTACAACATCAGCCTTGTCACCGATCTGGTTTTGGTATTGTCATCGATAAAGGGCGTATAGTTTTAATGTATTTTGACTGGAAAGATGACCTTTCTTTCATAGATTTACATTCAATGATAAAACTTAAGGAAGTTTTACCTTTTAGTATGTATATCGGGATTCAGACATTAATTCTGAAATATATCTAATATACAGTGACCTTTTATATTGAAAACAAACAAGATAACCAAGTGTAAAAAAAAATAAAATAAAAAATCCATTTTGCTCCTTCAAAAAAAAAAAATAAAAAAAATAAAAAATAAGAAGACCGGCTACATCAAAGACTTACCATTTCTTTAAGTTTTGTCCATAAGTGTATGTGATAAGTCTTCTTCAGTTTCTCTGCTCTTGAGCATGTCCTGGTGATGCCAGACTTCTCTATCTTGAGTTCTCTCTTTATATCTTCATTAGCTTATCATTCATTCCATCAGTCCAATTCTTCCTAGGTTCTGTTTCCATTCATTTTTCCCTCCAGAACTTTATCCATTTTCCTTTAAATATCCAACTCTTCTCTACCTTTCTGATGACCTTCAACAACAGCCCCCTCGTTCCTCTCCCAATCTTCTCGAGACTTTCATCATTCCTGATTTGTCAACATGTGGGTGTTAGCTTCATTAACAATCCACATAAAATAATTTTGTAGAATCAGGTTTTTAATTTACAAACCTTTTTATCTCTTTCTTTCTGTAGGAACCGTACTCCTGGAGTGAACGTCAACTGTCCAAGCTGCAAGTACAGACCTTTTTTTTTTTTTAATTTCGTCTCAGTTTACAGGTGTTACATTCGAGTCACCTTGTCCTGGATATTTACCCCAGACCTTGCAGAGGAAGTGATGATCTATAACAATGATTGGGCGGTAGCGGATGAGGGCCTAGCAGCGATATCTAGGAATCCTTGCCATTTCCTTTGTCTATAAGCCTTGCTAGTACTTTTAAGTTTTGGTTTGGTGGACTGTATCTAGATAGGCCAGACCTTTTTTAGCTCAATATTACCCTTGAATTAGAGCCGTTCGATTCTTTATAAAACCTTCTGACTACATGAGCAACATCAACCCTCTTTGACTAGGTGAGTCTTCTAACGCTAATTGATTGGAGCAGAGACTCAAAGAACTAGACCGATTCAAAGACTGACTACAAACAAACTGGTTTTATTGGCCAGCTGGCAGTTTTATGCAATCAAAATTTGCATATTTAACTAAAGTAACAAAATTTACATAATAGGCGTGAACAATGATAATAAATATATTTTTAAATATCATTTTTATACTCTGCTTTTTTAAATATTTTTTTTTCATCGATATATTTTAAATAGATATAGATTTGAAATAAATGCAATATTATACCTATGTAAATTATGCATATGGGCAGTGTCCCTACATATCCATCAAATTATTTCCTCTACCTTCCCTATTGGCCATGTCTCATACAACACCAAACTCCAGAGTTTGGGATTAGTGAGAAAAAACAACAACAACAAATAAAACCTCCATTTCATCACTTGTGTGTACTGCACTTCTCAGATCTACAATGTTTTACCATTTCCTCTTTACCTGCCCAACCCCTTCCAATACCAAATATTCCTGAAGGCCAACCATTAAGGATCACTAACCTAAGTACAGCATTCCTAGAAAATCTCCCAAGTAAGAAATCTGCCTGGTGGCATCTCAGTAATTGGACTTTCACTGGTGCATTGTAGATAAAACCAAGGAATGTCAGCCCAGGTAGTTGGTGACTTCTGTACGTGGCTTCAGGAACATGGAGAGGTTAACTAAATAAATAATAATACAAGGTTTATAATATGATGCACTAGCGCGCCATCTGTTATCAAAATTCGAAATTATTTTAAAGGCGTAACATTATTTTTGAAAATAAACAATTTCTACTTGCCCTCCCATTAATTTTTTCATTGCAGTAAGGGCAGTAGAAATTGTTTATTTTCAAAAAGAATTTTACGCCTTTAAAATAATTTCGAATTTTGAATACAAGGTTTGTTGTTAATGACACATACTCAATATGAATATAAAGTTTTTTTTTATTTTGTGAATATTACAATTTATAACACATTCATTCACAACACTATATATAAATAAATATAAAGATAACATTTATATATACAAAATATATTTTATAACTTACTACTTTTTTATTTTATTAGTGTGTAACATTAAAAAAAATTGTTCTTTTAAACAGAATAGGTAAAAAGCATTGTGTGAAGGCTCAAAATAAATTTAAAAAGAGGCTAAAAACTAACTTCAATGAAATGGAAGACTTGGCAAAGGCTATACAAAGACATGTTTGTATGTTATTATATCAGTACAAAATACAGTAGAACCTCCGTGAGAGGACACCTCTCTACAAAGGACAGTACAGTAGAACCTCCATGAGAGGACACTCCTGTTAGAGGACACCTCTCTAAAAAGGACAGTACAGTAGAACCTCCGTAAGAAGACACTCCTGTTAGAGGACACCTCTCCATAAAGGACAGTACAGTAGAACCTCCGTAAGAGGATACTCCTGTTAGAGGACATCTCTCCATAAAGGACAGTACAGTAGAACCTCCGTAAGAGGATACTCCTGCTAGAGGACACCTCTCCATAAAGGACAGTAGAGTAGAACCTCCGTAAGAGGACACTCCTGTTAGAGGACACCTCTCTAAAAAGGACAGTACAGTAGAACCTCCGTAAGAGGGCACTCCTGTTAGAGGACACCTCTCTAAAAAGGACAGTACAGTAGAACCTCCGTAAGAGGACACTCCTGCTAGAGGACACCTCTCTACAAAGGACAATACAGTAGAACCTCCATAAGAGGAAACTCCTGTTAGAGGACACCTCTCTACAAAGGACAGTACAGTAGAACCTCCATGAGAGGACACTCCTGTTAGAGGACACCTCTCTACAAAGGACAGTACAGTAGAACCTCCATAAGAGGAAACTCCTGCTAGAGGACACCTCTCCATAAAGGACAGTACAGTAGAACCTCCATGAGAGGACAATCCTGCTAGAGGACACCTCTCTACAAAGGACAGTACTGTAGAACCTCCATTAGAGGACACTCGCACTAGAGGACACCTCTCTACAAAGGACAATACAGTAGAAGCTCCATGAGAGGACACTCCTGTTAGAGGACACCTCTCCATAAAGGACAGTACAGTAGAACCTCCATGAGAGGACATTCCTGTTAGAGGACACCTCTCTACAAAGGACAGTTTACATCACCAAAATGAGCATATTTAGCAGCTCTACAATAAGAGGACAGCTCTCCCTAAAGGATACTTTAGCTCTGTAACCAGGTGTTATCCATTAAAGAAAGGTACTGTACATAATTATAGAATCGATATTACGTTTTTTAGATAGTTAGTATTTCAAATACTATTTCTCCATAAAACTCTTTTTCTATACACATGGTATTGAAATCAAATCCTTTTAATTTTTTTAATTTATCTAATGGATTTTTTTAGCCTTTTTAAAGAATATTTTATGATGAATTTTTGGGGATATAGCTAAATGATTTTTTTTTACCCTCCCAAGTACTAAATAAATCTCATCATTGCTTAACTTCGGGAATCTAAACCGAACCTGTGTTTTCAATTTGGAATGGTAGTAGGGGCAAGGTTGCTAACTTTTAAAATTATTATTTATTAAAGAAAAAAATTATATCAAAATTTTTTCTATTATTATTATAGATTTTTAAAAAATACTTCTAAAAAGTATATAAATATGTAAAAAAATTGCCTAACATTTAAAAAAAAAAGGTATTTAAAGTATAGTGTATACTTCTAAATATATATATAATTAAACAAAAATATATTTACATATATACAGTTTGGAAAATTTGCAGCGGGAGGATATTGATCTATAAAAATAAAGGTCAACTCTCCCGTCAAAATAGACATTAAAACTAGGCACCACCTATTGAACGTCTCTGCAAACTAGTGGACATACAGTTTATGTTGATCAAAAGTGTTTTACTATTTTTTTAGAGAGTTTTATAAACGCCTTTTCCAGTTTTTGATGATCTGTTAAAAATAACGAATGGTTATATATAAGTTAAAATTTTCAGTTTAGTGTGTTTGTGGACAATTTCACACAATGTGACATATCTTTAAAAGAAACTTTAAAAAAATCGATTTAGGTTTGAAATACCAATAGTGAAGACAAAAATTTAGCAGTTTTTTATAACCAATGTAACAAATACAAACAAACGGTGACTATATGCAACGTGTTGCTATGACAAAACGTATTTTAATTTGCATTTTGTCATTTAAAGAAAAAAAAAGGAATTGCTGTCACATTGCTTAAACATTACGTTTTCCTTAAAGATGAATAATACTAAATATATGGACAAATAGATACGAACACTGGGTGATCAAACAATTTCTAAACACTTTTTTTATTGGTGTATTGATATCACGTGATGTTTAGAATTGATTTTGATTGGCCGTGATATTATAAGCAGACTATAATTGAAGAAAAAAAAAATTAAAATAATTTTTTTTTGCTTTGTATTTTAATATATTGGCATATATTAATATCATGGCAATTTATTTTTTCTAAATAGAGATGAAATCTTGGTTAAAAAAAAAAAAACGAAGTTTAAAAAAAAAAACATGCTTGATTGTTTGTTGTTGTATGTAATATGATATGAAAAAATATAATAATAGACTATGACTGAGGTATATATGCTATAAAGTAATTATATAAATAACAAAAAATAGTAATAAAAAATAGAATTGTCCGTTTTTCTAAGTGACATTCACTATCACGCATTAGACATTCGAAAATATCAAAGTATGTGTTGTGTGTGTGTGTATATTACAATGGGTATGTAAATTGGTAGGAATACTATAAATGGGTCCGAGCATTTTCAGAATTGAGCCTCATTAAGATATTCTTGTTTTCTATTGAAGGAGGAGGTTCCTCAGGGACGAATCCCAAATTGACGAAGTCTTTCATCGCCAGCTGATGGCTGAGTGTTTCCATGAGGTCGGAGATGACAACGATGTTCTTCTTCATGTCGATGTTGAAGTTGCCCGTAGACGCAGCGCTGCCCATCAGGTACTGTGGGATAGGTAGAGCGTTCTTGATGGAATATTCGGAGTAATCGATGTCGCCGCTTAGGAAATGTACCGGCAACTTTTCCCTGATGGATTTCCAGGGTGAGAAGGTGAGTAACACCGGCAATAGGAACATGCCGTGAAGACTGGCTAGGACAATGACCAGCATTGTCACCTTGAAGAACACTGAGAAGATATAGGATGGCGCGAAGTACAACGGTGTCACACCCAGTAGTGTGGATATACAGCCTTGGAAGATGGGTAGACCTAGATCGTAGAGGGCTTCTTGCATTCTTTTATTTGGATCTCGTTCTTTCGAGGAAATGTAGGCATAGCTGATATGGGCGGAGTAGTCTACTGAGAACCCTACACACATGATGAGTCCTATCATTGCTATACAATCTAAGCTGACGTTCCATAGTGCCATGAAACCTATGACTCCAGCTTCGATGGAGATAATGGCAAACGCCACCCACATGGCACAGGTAAGGCTTGGGATAAAGAGAAGAAGAACGAATATCATGATGAGTGTTGCTGATGCGATGGATTGGATTGTGACGCTTTGGATGAGAATATGCTGGTCGAAAAGTACGAAGAACCAATTGTAGACGGTGACGTTGAAGGGAAAACTATCAGCGATCTTCCGTAGATGTAACACCATGTTCTTCTCCTCGTTGGAATCCCGAATCTCGCTGCTGTGGATCATGAAACGGCTCGCTATGATGTCTGTTCTATTCTCATTGAAGACCACGTCGTCCTTGAAGTCCCGGGCTGGTGGGAGTCGGAAGAACACGTTGGTCAGCCCCTTGAGGAAATCTTCCTTCTTGGAGATGTTGTATTGACTCATGAGGAACCGTCCCTGACGATGTCTGGTGAACTTGAGGTACTCCCGCAGCCAGGATTCTGTCAGAGTGGAATCCGACGTGAAGGGACTGCTCTCAAACTTCTGCAGCATCGTCTCAATCTGCCCCTGGACTTTGACATCCGAGTAGTCCAGGGTGTGGTTGACGGCAATCTGGATCCTGAATGGATACTTCCTGAAATAAAGATCCTCAACTTCGAAGAATGCTGTGGCGTAGGAATCGTCAGTACCCAGGCGCTTTCTTTCGATACCTTCCCGCAGGAAAGTCATACCCCACATGCTGAACCCGATGTAGATCAGGAAAGTAAACACAATGGCACTCTTGGTCGACTTATGGCCTAGAGCTTCTCCTAGCTTCTTCCCGAAGAAGATGCTCATGGTATTCTCTTTGTTATCTTTAGGATTCTCAGGGTCATCAGGATTGAATCCCCCGGTACACATGAGCTTGAAGAGGAAGCCGTCGTTGGCTAGACACACAGAGGGATATCAGGGGGTGCTTTCTGCTCACGCGACTCAACGCTCAACAAAGGAAAGAATAAATCCGTTACTCCCACGAATTTTTTTAAATTTCCAAAAAACATGCATATGTAAATAGGCATATTGTTGAACAATACTAGTAGATATATCTTCAAGAGAGCATACATCTCATATAACATTCCAGAGAAAATTACCATAGATAATCATATACTACAGTATCGCTGTAGGATGGGCAAATAACTGATGTACAAGAAACGATAAAAGTCAGCACTGAATTCTTGAAATAAAACATTTTTCTATTGTCCTTACTACAATGGAAGAATATTGACAGGGTCAATTTTCTCAGTCATGGACAGTAAGTAGAAAGGCTTTTATTTAATAAAGAAGTAAAAAATCGTGATTAATTGTTTCTTTTATTGAATATAGATGTAGCGCTAATGTATTATGTTTAAACAACTGATAGATATGCAAAATAGGTAAAATTTATAGAAGAGAGAATATTAGGTATTTAAAGAGATATGATTTGAACGTTCAAAATTGAGCGTTTAAATGAAGAGTGCCCATCTAGAAGAATAAATATCAACTAAAAACGTTAATTATATTTCTGACTTTAGCCAAATAATAATAAAAAAAAAACACCTAGTAATCCATACTGATGAACCAGACCGAATTATTTCATAGCGAACTCTCATTATCCCACAACCCCCCGAAACTATAAAACTTTCTTTTTTATCTATTTTATCTTAAGACCATATTTTACAATTGATCTTTACTTACCTCCAAATGCAGACTATTTGAGTCACCACATTCAGTGGAGGTTTATATACTCAGTGTGTCTACCTTCATTTAAATCAATGTTACACTCATGGACAAAACTTAAGAGAATTGTACCTTTTAGCATGTATATCGGAACAATAACTCTGAAAGCTATTTAATACACGGTGACCTTTAATGTAGACACACGAGATAACCAAGTGTGAACAAAATTTTCTCTGTCTCTTAAAGAAGAAAAAAAACAGACATTGAGATCAAATACTTTCCATTTGCATAAGTTTTGACCATGAGTGTATGCTTTCCTATATCAACAACAACAACAATAGCCTTTATTGGGCACACGTGCCATACAGGATTCTCCCGGTAGGACAAAATACTTTCCTGTATCAAAATTCTCTAAAGAGAGTGCAAAAAAAGAACACGTCCGCGTTAAAAAAATGGGGAAGTTAATGATAGAAAGAATGAGAAGAAATGATTGACTCACCAGCCATGGACTTGGGCTTTGTTTTCTTGAGCGGGAAGAAGGAGTGGAGATTACGTTGTTCGATATAGCCGTAGATGGCCATACAGCCGCCGAAGAAGGTGATGTGGAAGGTATAGGTGAAGAAGATGGCCACTGAGGTATAGGTGCAGAAGATGAAGAGAGATGGGAAAGGTGTAATGATGCCAATCATGAAGGACAGCAGGTTGGTGAGCGAGGTGATGGTGATGGAGACCCCGGCGTGCTTGTACGTTTGGCTTAAACGGTCCGCGACTTCCATCCGGGGGTCGGTGCGTCTCCAGGCGGCAAGTAGGACGAAGGTGTTGTCCATTCCAGTACCTGGGGGAACGGACATTTTAGATTATATGGATAAACTGGGAATTATGGTTAGTTCATGGTAGGTTAGATGGCAATAATATTGGTATATACCTCTCTTTAACCATATATATATAGTCATATGTACCTAAAAATAAAATATGGTTTTACAGGCTACTAAACAAAACTGGCAAAACCGCTGGGAGGGTTCACCACTGATGAGCCAGGCCCTCCCATTAATTTTTTCCATTGCAGTAAGGGCAGTAGAAATTGTTTAATTTCAAAAAGAATCTTACGTGTCTAAAATAGTTTCTAATTCTCATAACAGATGGCGTGCTAGTGCATTGTAAACAAAGTGTATGAGAGTACAAACAAACCCAGGCTAAGTTTCGAACCAAGGTTGTGGAAATACGAAGCCGTACACCCAACCATTAAGCTACGTGTATGAGAGTAGCTAAAGATATACCTATCTCTTTAATTGTACATCGGAACGATGCCTCATGTTTATAACCACAGTAAAAAACTTCACTAGTGGATGATAAAGAATGAGCCCACAACACCCGTTTTGGTAAATACAGGCAAAAAGCCGTCCATCTACTGATGAAGGCCATATACCGAAACCATAGCATACAGGTTGGC